GCTCCATCATGTCGAGCTCGCTCTGCACGATAGCCCGCAAATTCTCGATGGGAGACGGGTCAGGGCTGTTGCCCAGCCATACACCCTTGTCCCAAAGCCCTGGGAAGTTGTCCCAGCACCACCGTTGAGTGCTGGCGTCGTGATGAGCTGAAGCACTGTCTTGCCGGAAGATCGCCTCGGACATCTTCGGGAGCAGCTCGACCTGTGTTGGCGCCCCCGTCTGCCTCTTCCGCTTATCGCGGACACTGCAGACTTCTTCAGAACTCCTTCACGTAGTACTGGGCCGCCACGGTCTGACCGCGGGAGACGATGTGGAGCTCTGACAAGCCCTAATGACTCATCATGGCTCAGGCCATGATTTTCAGCGGCTGCTTCACCTTGTCGATGGCAGGCACTTCAGCACTGCTGTGCGCCCAGACGCGCTCGTTCTGGCGATTCAGCGGAAGCATGAGCTCGAACACAGACTCATTGCTGAACAAGACGCGCCGCCAGTCCTGAATGGTCCAGTTCTTCTGCTCCCGGGCAAATACCAGACGCTTCCGCTTCTGGGCTTCGGCCAGTTTTGGCTGCCGGCGCAGATTGAGCGGTTTGAGACCCAGGCACTGGGCCATGTAGTTGTGAACAGTGGTCTTCGACACCGCTTGACCCTTCTCAGTCATTTTTTGGGCCAGTTTCCGCGTCGCTTGGCGTCTTTTCAGCACGGCCTTAGCGAGCACGATTTTGGCCACACTGCTCAGCACAGTTTTTCTCCCATGGTCCTTGCGATTCTCCAGTGCTGCACCGCTGTGGTCGAGAACCAGTCAGTAATGAAGGGTACGGCGAGATACGCCCACTTGTCGGGCAACATCGCCTACCGTCATCCCGGCTTCAACCATTCCAACCGCGCGGTAGCGCGTCGTCAAAGTGTGCTCCCTCACTATTCTCGATATGGGGTCCGCGCGCGAAGACTACCTCTCGGAAAGCGACCTGTGGCCACTCACTGCGGCTGGGGTCAGGTCATCTGCTGGGTCACGTGATCACATGACATGCTGGGGTGCCCAGGGGCGGGGTCGCGAACCTCCCTAACCGGTTTGGCGGGAGCACGTGCGAGATACGTGAATATGGGCAGTGTGCAATCAATTTCCGGACACCCTGTATGTATCGTGAATGTAGGTACCAGGGCCCAATCTTACCAATGCCGTGGATGCAGAGGCCGTGGATGCCTACCACGGCGGCTGATCCACGGCACTCCATTTACCCAATCTTACCTATGCCGTACCACGGCATTTCTATTCACCGCATTTTGCCCACGGTACAATTCAGCGCCAGCAGAAAACACGCAATGTGATTGGTCAATTCTTGTCACCTTCGCTGTTGGAAATTGTGCGTAATGCTTGTGAACAGGTATAGCTCTCTATTTAAAGTTTTGTCGGGCGTTTATTTGTTTTAGAGACATATATAATATGTGTGAAGGATAAGTTATTTGTGGAAAACGTGATAGCAAACTATGAAAAACTAAAGCCTGCCTAAAGAATTCTGAAAAGCGGATTACTGGCCTAATGAGCTTCCGCGAGGACATTCTTGCGCTGAGAAAATCGAGTGGATTAGTTTTCAACTTCGTGTCGCTACTCATCATTTCTATTTACTTACTGTTAAGATATTGCAACAATTCTTAGATAAAATTATTGAAGTAACGACCTAGTGATAGCTCCGCTGCTGTTTTTAAGTCATTGGAATAATGCAATTGAAATGCAGCTTGTAAAGCTTAAACTTTGGGTTCATGCACCGGGCCAGCTCAAGCTATAGCCTATTTTTCTGCTTTTTACAAGCATCAGGGCTGCGGAGTCGGAGTCGGAGTCGGAGTCGGAGTCGGTCGGAGTCGACAGTTGTGACCGGAGTCGGAGTCGGAGTCGATTTTAGAAACCCGAGCCGGAGTCGGAGTCGGAGTCACCGAAAATCTGTCGACTCCGCAGGCGCAGCCCTGCTAGGTCTGCGGAGTCGGAGTCGGGAGTTGGAGTCGGTCGGAGTCGACAATTCTGCCCGGAGTCGGAGTCGGAGTCGGAGCTGGTTTTTGAAAGCCGGAGTCGCAGTCTGAGTCGGAGTCGCCGAAAATCCATCGACTCCGCAGCCTTGACAAGCATGATAACAAAAGGAATTCCTCAAAATATTGAAGAAACTCTTCTACATCTCAAAACCATATCAAGAAAAAGGCTTCCAGTTCAGAAGTCAGATTGAGACGCATGAAGACAGCATGCTTCGTAGCTGTCTGTGCCAGACAGAAAGTGGTAAAATATGCATTGTGAGTGCTGATATAATTGTTTAACAAGTTTACGGTATTTAATTGTTTTAAATATTTACTTAGAAATCATTAAGTACCTATGTTTGTGAGACGTCCGGACGGGGTAAACACTGAAACACCCATATTATAGCATATAGATAGGTTTGGCATTGGTAAGATTGGGCCCAGGTGCTAAAATCGCCTCCACGATCTCGTATGGATTTGAAAAATAAGACCATATAATGAATAAACATGTTTATTTTTATGGATTTGAGTGTGATTTTATCCCTGGAAAATACATGTTTTTGAAATAATCACTATGCGTGTAATCGTCGCTCTAAGATGTCAAGGGCATTATATGAAGAATTATTTACTTAAAGGGAGATTATGACCTTTTTCCACAAAATCTGAGTTAGGACCATTTTCTGACAAAACACAACAAGTTATAATGTAAATTAAAACCATTTTGCTCAATTCGGTACCTTGCCGCAAATATCTCAACTTGAAGTCACGTTAGCGGGGAGCGCTGAAAATGACCGTTGAATAAGTACTTACATCACTTTTTGGTACTTGCATGTAATTTTGTAAAATGAGCGTATTCATTACATTTGATCTTCATCACATCTAGTTAGTTAATGGTCGTCTATAGTGCCTTCAAAAGATATTCATGTTTTGGGGGTGGTTTATGTCTAAATTTACGCAACTATTTTTCCTGTTCATCATCTGTCGCCATATGCTGCTATTTTAGTAGCAACGACTCAATTTTGAATCGGTCCCGCCGACTGCACAATAAAAGAAGATAGATACAACACTTTTGCGGCATCACTGAAAAACTTATGCAGTACTGTCATCAAAATTCTCATAACACCGTTCGACAAACCTGAAGTCTTTTTGAAATAAATATGCTTGTATTTTTCGCTTCAGGCTCTGAGGCCAAAATAATGAATTTCGTAGTCGCAATCGCAAGATTTGGCTGCGTTTCTGGCGCATGCCGTTCATTTGTGGCGCTTGGAAACAAAGAAGAGTAGGCACTATGTACCCCCGAATTAGAATCTAATTAATTCTAAACCGAATTAACTCTAATTCAAATTAGAATCCTTACAACCAAGCAACGACAAGGCGATAACATAAACAAAAACCCAAGCGTCGCTGTTTGAAACAAAAGCGCCATATACTGCGACTTTTTTATAGAGAAGGACAACGCATTTCGGTGGGTGTTACAAGTAATGCAAGTACTGCTTCTTTTTTGCAAAAATAAAAACCTTTTTCACATACGAAAATGTGCTAGGAAATTTTCATATTTTATAGAAACTACAGTAGAAATAGTATAGATGTCGAGTAATTTTTATTTAAGAAAAAAGAAAGCTCATTATCTCCCTTTAAAAAATAATAATAGTGTCAAATATTGCATAGTAACAGTGGCGGATCCAGGGGGGGGGGCAAAATGGGCATTTGCCCCCCCCCAAACGGCATGATTTTAACATTACGCCTATGGACGATGCATGGCAAGAATCGATAAATTTTTATGGTTTGCCCCCCCCCCCCCAAACCTCTGAGCTGGATCCGCCTCTGCATAGTAACATCCTCCCAACGGCCTATCCCTTTCACAACACCCGCCATTCACGGCACTAAAAGGTGGCGTGAATGGAACGGCCACCGACAGCGCAAACAGCTGATTATTTGCGTTTGTTCTGCCGCTCTCGCGGCAGCTTGTGCCACTGCCCATGTTAAAGCACTGCCAAAATGCCGTGGATAAACATCGACCGCATGCCGTGAATGAGACGGCGTGAATAGCTATCCACGGCATTGGTAATATGCCGTTGCCGTGAATGGGCTCCATTCACGGCATTTTGCCTATTCACGGCATTGGTAAGATTGGGCCCTGGTGTCCGTTTTAAAATGGTACTCATGTGTTATGCTCGTGATTTTTTATCGCATGAGCTATATTGTTAAAATTTCACGTGCTGATAAAAGACATCACGGCTTGACAGAAAATCATAAAATAACTGTCTTAGGATGCAGACGGACGTACAGATGGCTTTTACTGCAGAGGCCTATAATGTACAAAAAAAATCTACAAGGCTCGGCGACTGTTCCTTGAAGTTTAATTTTGACCATCTTAGAGCTGATTTAGCGCCAACCAAAAGCTGTGAAGAACAAGAAGGTGGATGGAAAAGTTCAAGAAGGCAGTTCAACCAGGAGACAAACCGGTAGAAACTGCAGCGTGAGAACAGAGGAAACCATTCAGAAGGTGGCAGACTCTGTAAAACAGAGCTCAAAAAGCCGCGGCAACTGGCAACGCAGCTGTCCTGTGTGCTGTGGTCCATCCAGTACGCCTTCTCAAGCCCCATGGGCCAGTAGGTTGGTTTCCGCGAGATCCTCCCGAGGCTCTAAGCAGGACACCCGCAGCGGCCAACGTCCAGAGCGCAGCGGACCCCGTCCGGAACACGCAGCGGCCAACATCCGGAGAGGGAGCGCAGCGGCACCGCCTTTACGGCCCCTCACTCGTATGTTTGTAGGATGTTTTGCTACTTACTGCAAATGTGTTATTATCAACTTGTGTTTAAGTGATGTGATATCCTTTGATTAGCTGAGACCATCAAACGTATAACATTTAATTTAATTCTCTGCAGATAACACTGTGTTTGAGCGAAACACCTCCCACGGTACAGCACATCGGTACATTTTAACCGTCGGGATACAACAGACCAGCGAATACAATTATTAAGTCAAGCTAACTTACCTTTGCAGGCGACAAAGACAGCGTCTCTCTAGATCTCTCAACTGCTGTGCAGTCAAAACAGCATTTCCCATATGGCGTAGATCTCCCTGAAAGCAAAAACCAAACAAAACAAATGTAATGTTTAACATTGTTTATGAAGAGCATTATGGCATGTGTGTGAGTGTGTGTGCACTGCAACCCTGCTTTGTTGAAAACAGCTAAGCCTTATCCCATGTGGAAGCAGACTCAGAGCGTGTCCAAAGATTATTAAACAGTCTGACAGTTAATGAGCTTGAGGAGTTGCAGGGAAAATGGCAGAAATTTCTTACCTCTATCTTACACCCCAGCCACATCGCACTGAAGTCTGTGTTATTCAGCATTTCCTGCCACTTTCCGAACATTTAGATGAAGCTCAGAAATTTGCAATGTTTTGAAATCTTTAAAAAATTTACTGTTCTTTAAGAAGAAAGAATTCTGCATCACTTGTTTCCCCTGATGTGGATTACAAGATCTTAGACTTAAAAAAAAAATGTTTAGCATTAGCCTGAAAAAAAAATGAACCAAGCAAGATATTGAATATTGATTCCAAGTAGGTACCTAGGCGGTGTTCCACAGCCGCTGCTGTCTAAGTTGCTGACATCATACTTCATAGTGGGCAATTTTGGAGCATGCTTGCAACAATATTGAATGACATCACCAGCATAGAAGTAAAATTTGATGCTGCTGAAGACATCACTTTATTTCACAAGGATGTCTACTTTAACCACATAATTGATGTCACTTAAAATTGAGGCAATCATGCGCCAGAATTGCCCACTATGACGTCAGCACACTGGCAGCATAACGTGAAGCACTGCCCTAATTTGCTTTTTTTGTGCTTACCGTTGAGCACTGCAGAGAAGCACCCATTAAGTGCTGTATGGAGGCTTCTGGCTCTGAGATCTCAGCACCAACAAACACGGATTTCCAGTGCTGTAAAAGTTCATCTATGGTATTACCGACAGCATGAACCTTTCTATGAATAACAAGTGAAAGAACCCAATTAGGGTGAGGCTGACAAGCCTCTAATTTCCTGAGGATAGTTGAGAACTTGAGAGAATGCATATCTTGACCAACTCTGAAAAAAATAACAGTCAGCATTGAGTTTCTAATTATTAATCCACAACCCGTTGTGCTATTGCCGGACCCTGCCACCGACATAATCGAGTAAGTTGAAGTGCTTTGTCCATGGAAATCATGCATTTCCAATTTTCCTTGTTCCACAGCAAGACACTGTTGTCTGTTCTAATATCTAGTTCCAAAGCACAAGTATGGAATTCATCAGGAATAATTCACACCCTAAAATTTGGCCAAACCTACTTCGAGCCGGCTTCGAGCGAGAAAACACTTGAAAAAAATTGCATGAACACGCGCAGTAGCCACGTGCAACCGCACGTGCGCGCCACTACCAAGGTTTGCTATTTTATTCAAGGTCACGTACGCTAGATGACAGCTGCAGATTGCTAATTTACTGCAAGGAGAGTTACGGCATGGATGAAAAGTTCTCTATATACCGTGAGTTCTCCTTCATCTATGGTTTAGGTTTACGTTTAATTGGATTGTCTGGTGTAGAGTAGACAATAACCCCGCGTTTGATGTCTCTCAGACCGCAGACGACGAAGATTCCACGCCGTCCGGCCAATCTGTCGCATTCCATAAATCCATAACTACAACCCGCAGCCGAGCCCCCGATGTCCATCAAGACCATATTCAGCCCAGATTCAGCCCGGATTCAGCCCAGATTCGGGACACCTCCGATCAAGCTGAAACTCGCACACAATGTAGGCCATGACATCAGGGCCTCGTCTAAGGAATTTTCACTGGGGGGGCCAGAGCCTGAAGGAGCCAAACCTAGGGTACCCCCAAATCCTTTTTTCTCACCGGATTTAGACCACTTATTTTTCATCACAGCCCTGACACAATGTTTTTTTTTGAAAACTTAAGAAAAAATAATAGGCCATCCGACCCATGCTTTTATATTAGTTTGAAGCCTCCTCACATTGCCCCACCAGACAGAAATAATCACACTTATCGGTGTTGAGCGTTTTTGAGCGGCAGTGCCTTGTCTATGGAATTTACATGCCGAGCCTTGTGTCGGGGGCCCACACGCATAGACTGAGTGCTTGACTCTGAGCTCTGCCGAGTTCTGAGGGCTAATACCAGCTTCTGGACCCACGCCGGCCTCTATGGTAGCCCACACTGGCTTTATTATGATCCATACCAGGCTTTAAGGATCAAGCTGAGTGGAGACAGTATTTTCCCACTAGGGTCCCCTCAGACTAGTGTAATGCCTACGTATCAACTTGGAGACTGATTGCTTCTCAGGTGGATTCTCCGTAAGTCGTAATCGCCGTGGAGCTCCGACACAACCTTAAGGTTGTCAGAGGCAGTATAAACTAAACAAAAAATGAAGATTTCCCGTGAAGTAGTGCAATTTGAGGCCCGTTGGGACCCTACAGGCTGGCATTTGGCTGGCATTTGCCCACCGGGACTCCACGCCGACTTCTTTAGATAATCCAGCTGTCAGTTCCCGTCCCCACAGACAGACCACCAATCTGCGCCTACGTACGACCACCACGGGATCCTGCTTCATTACGATTAGAAGCAGGCCGTAACCAGTCGAAGTCAGTGAGGGGACCGGCCGTGCGCGGCTATGTGCATACGTAAAACTTTGAGCTCTAAATTCTGCCATAGATCAGGAAATGCGCGATCGGAGGGTAGAGGGCAGAGCCAACGCAACAAGCTCTGATTAGCGGGGGCTCTGTCCTTGTGAATTCTTCCATTCAAAAGATTCGGACTAAATTTATGTATAAAAAAGAATATCCGAGACACGGAATTGGGCGCCCGAAAAGACGACATGTAACATATTGCTGAGCGAAAAAAAAAAATGGTAAAGGGAGGTTAACAAAATAAACATTTGATAACAGGCCTAAGTAATCGGGTAGGTATCAATGTGCTCACATTCCATCCATGTTTCGTTTACACATTTGCTTTTATGTGCACTGACGCCTTGAACTAAAAATTCGTTTGCCTTTTGGCTATTGCCGGCCCCCCCAGTAGTGACTTTTTGCCCTGACTGGGGGGGCCAGGCCGGTGACTGCGGGGGTTTGGCCCCCCCAGTTAACATGTTAGACGAGGCCTTGCATGACATGGGTCAATCCACAGTCCGAGTCATTCGGCGGCACTCCCAGCCATTTGACCTACAGAGGTCAGCAAAGGTCACGTGGCCCAAATTTGCACAGCAGATTGTGGCCCACCCACTGACCGCAGACGACGAAGATTCCACGCCGTCCGGCCCAGTCCGGCCAATCTGAATCACGTAAACGTTCCATAAATCCATAACTACAACCCGCAGCCGAGCCCCCGATGTCCATCAAGACAGCCCATATTTAGCCCAGATTCAGCCCGGATTCAGCCCAGATTCGGGACACCTCCGATCAAGCTGAAACTCGCACACAATGTAGGTCCTGACATGCCAAATCCACAGTCCGAGTCATTCGGCGGCACTCGCAGCCGTTTGACCTACAGAGGTCAGCAAAGGTCACGTGGCCCAAATTTGCACAGCAGATTGTTGCCCACCCAGTAGAGCAAGAGCGCAAAAAATGGCACCAATCGACTCGCCAGCATCTAATCTTACTTTCCCAATACCCATTTGACCTCTCAAGGTTATGCTATGACCTAAGGTCATTTGTGGGCTATGTCGAAAATACACTTGCACAGCAGTTTTCGAGTAGAGGGATTGACCGAATTCCAAATCAAAGCACATCATCGGGTATCCCATTGGCCGTAATAACTTTCCTTTAAAACCGCTTCTCGATATGTGACCCCGTTTGACCTCGGCAGGGCAAAATGTACAAATAAACGACACTATGTCGCAGCCCGGATTCAGCCCAGATCATCGGGACACCTCCGTCCAGATTCGGGACCCCTGGATTACGCATGGCGTAATCCAGGGGTCCCTGATCGGCCCAGTACTATTTTTAATTTTTACAAATGATTTAGTGTCATACCTGGAAATGGAGGGCTCCTAAATGGTGATGTATGCGGATGATGTGCAACTTTTACATCAGAGTAAGCCCAGTAACCTGTCGGGACTCAAAGTGAGCGTCGAACGCACCGTAGCCACCGTGCACAGCTGGTTTAGTGAAAACAGTTTGCAAATTAACCCTAACAAAACCGACCTCGTACTAATTAAGTCAAGTAAGCGGCAGTCATCCTCCGAGTTTTCTGTGCAATTCGGCGATGTTTCGATTAGACCTTCCCCGGCGGTGAAAGTGTTGGGGATGGATGTTGACGGAGGATTAACGTTTGAGAAGCATGTTTCTAGTATAGTTAGACGGTGTTATGCCACTCTTGGTGGACTATAAAAAATGGCTGGCAAATTGCCAGAACCTGTGAAGAAAATGATTGTTGAATCACTTCTTTTTCCGCGTCTCAGTTATTGCTCTTCTGTGTGGGCCGGCTGCAATGCAACCCAACGGCATCGCTTACAAAAAGTGTTGAACCATTGTGCACAGGTGGTGAAGGGGGCAAAACGGCGAGACCTTGTCACGCCGTTATTAGCTGAGCTAAAATGGACGTCACTTGACAACCTTGTAGCCGAGCGCGACGTTTCCCAGCACTATTTGCTAAATAACGAACAGGCGCCCGGCAGCCTGACCGCGTGCATTGTACACCGCCAGTGATGTATACTACGCAACGCTTCTTCAAAACTGCGATGGCCCATACCTCCAGGGGGCCCATACTAGAGATGTCAATCGGATACCGACTTTTTGGTATACCGATACCAAACCGATACCAACTTGGTATTTGGTATTTCAATCCTAATGTGTTTGGTATTTTGTTGGTATCATGAGCCCCCACTAATGTATAAGACGCTAAGAAATCGGTAAAAAGTTGGTATTTCCCTCATGTTCCCAAGTTGGTTTGGTTTCGGTATTTCTCCACGGTTTTGGTTGGTATTTGGTTTGGTATCGGTATTCCGATTTTCAGTAACTGACATCACTAGCCCATACCTCCCGGGTCTCCCCTATGTGCTGTTGTGGTTGGGGCCCTGTGAAGCTGGGATGCGATTGTGGCTCCGAGTGACCCCGAGAAGCCCAGGTCGGTATCGGATCCCAATCGGACAGTGAGTGCACAGTGCACAGTGCACACTGCCAGTATGCTCTACTCGGATCCTCTGCAGGTGCAGCTCAGACCGCGCCCTCTAGGCGCTGCACCTACACCGTGCACGGCTCAGTGGCCATCCAGCCGGGTCAGCACATATAGGTGACGCAGTGATCGCACCATGTGGGCTCAGATTCGGGGACAAAAGCATCGCGAAAGCACGCAAGGGAAAAAGTACGCATCGCTAAAAAATATAACTTGACCTGACCTAACCCACCTTAACCTGACCCAACCAAACCTAGCCTAGCTCAACCCAGCCACGCACAGATGTTTACTTTAAAGTAAAGAGCTGTCAAACAAAGAGTTTGGAGTTACCTAATGACAAGTTGCAAGCATGGCCTTGCATATGAAAAAAAAGAAAAAATGGTGACCTGAGGTTAGAGGTCAAGTAAAAGACCCCGAACTGAGCTTTTAAGCTTTCCGCAAATAACCTCAACAAACATGGCCCTAGAGCTCTGGTGTTATCAAAGCATTCGTCGCGTCAAAGCACGTCGATTGACATATATTTTGTATGGAAATAGTCAAGTTTTATGCTGACCTCATGTGACCTCGAATCTGGCCTTGGATGACTTTGGTTGACACTTGACCTTGACACCTTGACACATGTTAGGTCTCATATGCTGCAGGGTAAATGTTCCTATTAGCGACCCTTCCCGATGAGCGACCCCACCTCCTTGAGTGAATATGCCTGGAATGGGAGGGAATTTCAAAATAGTGATAAACACGTTCAATGCATCTGAACAAAATAAGATATTCTCTTCCGTTCCATGGCCCTGAGGCAGTTGGACATGAGCCCGTAAAGAAAAATAGAGATTCATGCTTACATGCAATTAGGTAGAACCGTAGACCATATGCAGTTTTGAAGTGTTGATAAATAGGCATTTACCGACACTCAAACTGACATGAATATTTGTTGTTGAACTTGTATTTATGTGTGCTCGTGGTGTAAGTATTTTGAAAAGACATCCATTGTGCTGGCTTATCGAGCTCGTCAGCAGTCAGCACCATAGAGATCGCTATGGTAAGCACTGCCGTAACCGACCTGAAGTAAAAAAAAAAAAAAAAAACAGATGATGTAGAATTGTATGGAGACATTCCGTTTGGTGCCGTTTTCGTTTCCATGGCATCTTTATTTACGGAGAAAGAAGGGGGTCAAAACCCGCTCCACCCCCGGGGGTGCGGTGGCTGAGATTACTACCCGGGCCCGCCCGGGTTAACCCGCGCCCTG